CGAAATTTTATAGCTCTAACTTGGTGTCAACCAACCAAGCTCCCCGAAAACACATTATGCACAAGCAGCTCATCAGGCTTTTACAACCTTTTAGCAGAATCCACATTGCTACTAACTAATCTACTGAAAGCTGCACTAATATCAAGTACACTATTTATTTAGGAAATTTTGTTCTACAACAACTCTCATATCAATACACAACACAGCCATTAATCCAAATAATTTGAGAAGCTTGAGCTGGCAAAATCTTGAGAAAACTGTCGAGGGTGTATTTTCTGGTCTCAAGTATCGGCTGCAAACAGAGTTCAATTTTGGGGTGGGTAGGAGGGAATTTCTGGGGGGACATTGAAAAATTTTGAGAGCCAAATGGAACAAAAAAATGTAGTTTTTTATCGATTTAACTGATGCAATTCACAAGATTGTGTCGGTGTAAGTCGATATAAAATATCAATCGATATATGTTGTAACAATATTGAATCGAAAAGGAATATAAAATTACTCATTTTAAATAGTGATGTTACGAGTACGAAAATTATCACGCTAGTACGGGTAGGATAATACTTGCCCTGAACAGGTCGGGCCGCACAAGTTAGGTCATAAATTGCCATCACTAATTATGAACATGGAATATAGGTGGCACGAGTACATAATGGCATATACAATTACCCGAGGAAGATGTTATAGCTCATATGGAAAAGGTTTACCATGTGATCCTATGTTTGATGAGAAGTATATTGCAACTGTGCAAATTGAATCCAAATGGTTCGGATATTTCCAAACCCATTGGTAATAAGTACCATCTTTATTTTAACAAGTCTTGTATCGTAAATGAGCAACGATATGAAAAATTAACGAGAATCTTTGGACAATGCTATTGAAGAAGTGAAATAGTTTGACTCTGAACGAATTTTGCACCATTAGTGAACTTGAACATGAAAAGTTAGTAATCGACTTGAATATTCAAAATTAGTGAAATGTATTTGGATGTTGAACTTGAAGACGAGAAAGTGATCCAAATCAAATCCAAACTGACTCATTGCAAGTACATAGGGCCATATATCTTATAGCTTCGATACAAATAATTGATAGTAAGTATCATCTTTGTTGTAATAAGTTTTAATGGTTGGACCACTATTGATTGATAGATTTAATGGTTGGACCACTATTGATTGATAATAACAAACAATTGAGCCTGTAACAATCCACATCGCAATATAATGAGTTCATATTTGATATAGCAGATGTAAAAAATTAGTGAGGCTCTTTGGACAATGCTATTGAAGAAGTGAAATAGTTCTACTTTCAACGAGTTCTGCACCATTAGTGAACTTGAACATGAAAAGTTAGTAATTGACTTGAATATGAAAAATTAGTGAAATGTATTTGGATGTTGAACTTGAAGACGAGAAAGTGATCCAAATCGAATCCAAACCGACTCATTACAAGTACATAGGGCCATATATCTTATAGCTTCGATACAAATTACAATATAATGAGTTCATATTTTGATATTGCAGATGATTTCGACTTGTTGCTATACATTGGATTATGAGAGATCTATTAGTCATAAAAATAATATACTATCTATCTCATGTAGAGTTAGATACTTATAAAGGTTGTCATGTTGCAAAAGCTCGAAGGAATGCTTGTCCAATCTTGAAATGTTGATTTTTTATCACATCGTACATACTTGAAAAAAGATTAGTTAGTAAATACTCCATTTAATACACGTATATGTACCCGTGTATATTTTATCCATTTAAAACTTTTGTATCCGTATTACACTATTATTGTCAAGTCGTTTCATTTTTCCCTGTTCATTTAATGGCTACCGTACTAAACACGTATAAAACCCGTATAACACGTTTAATATCCGTATTTAATGAATGAAATTGTTAAGTTTAGTATTATTTAGATATTAATATATTTTTAAAATAATTAATGTCATACATTTATGAATATTTCCGTACTATTAAACGTAACATTACCTAAGAGAGGAAGTAAAATACACGTACGTATTTTATACGTAACTTTTCTGTATCATATTTTACTAACTATACTTAAAAATAAGGACATAAGTTTATAATTAGATAAAAAAAATTAGAAATAATGAATATAATTTTCCATTCCCCCAAAATATCCCGCCCTTTATTTGTTTTGGATTTTCCCACCCCATTCTCACCAAATAAAAAGATTTTCCCTCTAAATTGTTAATTTCTTAATTTATGCACCTGTGAAATAGGAATGGGTTGCCGGTCAAAAAAAAAAGGAAAGGATTGACCCCAATATGATGTCGTACGAGACAAAAGAATGTGGGAAACTTTACCCTCCCCGCATTCGCCTCCACCATTCTTCCTCAGATCCACCCCATTTCCACACCATCGTTCCAGTTTCAAGAATAAGGAAACTAGCACGAAAACCCCAAATCCTACCTTAAACGACAATCTACTGGTTGAGATCCCAACAGAACCGCGGCGGAACTCGTGATCGGACTCGCCCCAAAGGTCATCTTGTCGCTGGATTTCATCGAGATCAAGAATGCGTCCATCATAGCCTTGACGGACGCGGATTTACATGCCGATCCCATGAATGAATAGGTCCGTTCGTTCTCCCCTCTCTGCTCTCTCGATTCCATTATAGCCTTGACGATTTTGGTTTTTCATTTCTTTTCATCTTGGTTGGCAAGGGTTTGCACCTGACTGACGCGAGGTTCGTGGGGGATTGGTTGGGGGTTGTGGAGAGGTGAGATCGTTTTTGACTTTATATTTTTGGAATCAATCTTGATGGAGAAAATCGGAGATTCTGAAGCTCAATTCTTATTGCTGTGACTTGTGAGTATTCTCTGAATTTTGCCCTGTCCTGTTTGCCTCCCATGCCTGAATCTTACTCTCTAGTGGTGCTATGTAAGTTAGGAAAATTGCTTTGTTTGTCTTAAAGAAAGAAACTTTGCAGTGGGAATTTCTCTTAAAATCAAATGAATTAACTATGATGGCTGATAGTGATAGGTTTCGAACTGAATGTTTACTTTCATCTTCAAGAATCATCTTTGGCTGATCGATGTTGTTATAGGAAAAACTTATACGTACGCTCTGGATATATTTCCCTTTTCCAAGTCTTATTGTGTACTTTCTACATTTACAGGCAGCGCTCTTCTGGAGCTAGAGGTGAAGACTTAAGGAACCCAAAATTTGTCTTCCTCGGCTGAAGACTTATCAATGGACGGTATCAAATGCTCCATTTTCTTTGAGCATACTTGCACCCAGCCTTGTGAAACTCGAGCTGAGATGCTTCATTGTCTTCCTTGGCAGATTGTCGTATTTGTATTGTGGAAGTGAATGAGCTCCAAGTGAACCACTTCATGCATCTGGAAATCCTTCACCTTGATTCATGAAATATTTGCACTCTCCTTCATTCATTTACAAATGAATTGGGTCTTCTTAGTTAGCATCATAGGGAATCTATTGATCGAATGCTCAATTTTTCATAGGAACTCATTTCTTGTTTGCTGCAGGGAGTAATAGCAGGCTTAAGGGTCTTGGTTTTGCAATCCTGAAGCTGTGGCATCGAGTAACATAGCTAAAATTGCTATCAAGTGGGGATTTCATAATACTTACAACGAGCAAATGGCAAATGAGTTTTAAGGCAAGTTTTGGACCTGCTAACTTTATCTTTCTTTGAGCATACTGTTAGTTTGTATCCTTCAACCACTTATATTGTTTCTTCTATTTTGCAGTCCTCGTAACATGCAACCTGCTCTTAACCGATTTTGGCAACATCAAATCGCAACCATAAGCATACCGCTGGTTCCCTGGTGAGCTGATAATGAAAACATATTTCACTTGTCTGCTTAGTAGTCTCTCAAGGTTGCTTTAGAAGCAGCTTTTTTTTTGTCTAGGTCATAGAATGATCTAAATACCATTCTAAAACCAGAATATCCATGATCTTAAAGTACCAAAAAGTGTCGAACAAAGTACCAAAAAGTACCCAAGAAAACACCCTAACATCCTAACCAGACCAATAACTCATAATATCCAGTCGAATAACTCAAATAGCCAAGTTGCTGGTCCTTTGTTGATCACTTCTCATACGTGGCTTCTTCTGCAACATTGAATACACAAAAGTTAGTACGAAAAAATATGGATGCAACAATATTAGGTAGACATGCACAAGGAACTCTTAATATTACCCTTTGTTGGTCGTCAATGTCAGTAGTACCAACATCCTCAGCACTATCCTCCTCTGATGACTCCCGGCAAGTTCTTCTATTATGTTGCGTTGAACCGCATCTTCTGCAATTTTTTGTCTCGCCTTAGTTAATGTTTCTGTATGGTTTTGGATGTCTAGGGCATCACCATCCTCTTCGTTTTGATTGCCATTGTTATTGTCATCTTCCTCAGTCTGTGGGGTTGACTCTGTAGTAGTCGGCCTTACATACCCAGGAGGGTGTGTATAAGTGGATTTATAATGAGCCCATTCCCCACATCTACTACACTGTCTTTGCTCTCCTTTCTTCTTCTTCTTCTTCTACTTGTTTTGTTGACCCCCTGAACCTTTATGTTTCACCGGCAATGGATCCAACAACTTCTCTTTTGCTTTCGTCTATGAATGTCTGGTATCTCAGTATTACCAATGTGCATCTTGTCTAGCGATTCACATAATGATGAAATTCCTTCACGAGCAAACTTGAAGCAAGCACTAGATTTTGCTCCTTTTACGCATAATTGTAAGTTGGCTTGTTGCATAATCCCATACCTGAAAGTCAGCATAGTTTAGTTAATGCAGAATATCCATGACAACTAGATCTTTTATATTGACGCGTACTCAAAAAAAGTTTCAAAAGCAAGGGTACCTTTCTGACAAAAAAAGACACTGCCCTATGTTAACCTTAAAATTAAAGATCATTTGGGGTGAGCTTAGCTTTTAAAACACCTACATGTTGCTTTCTTATGATAATATGATAATTATTTGCGGATAACAGTCCGTATGAGTGCGTGGAAACAATGGTATCTTTAGAATTTTTGCCTAAAACCAAAGATTATATTTGCCAACTAAATTACGTATTTCAATAAAATTGTTTGTAACTTTTGCAGATTGAGTTTGTGGACGACTTGTTCAAGGCTTTGTATAAGGAAGTGGAAACCATATGTGCACCACCAAAGATTAAGGAGTTTTCTTGGTCAACTCCTTCATGTACAGAACAACAGCACAAGTATGAGTGTGTGTTTTTAGCATAATTTGAATATAGAAATAAATTATATGTTGATTACATAATGTATCTTCTTAATAGGAATGATAGTGGGGTTTGGGTGTGCGTCAGGATGATGGGTGCATCCTGGGATTCTCACTATGGCATTTGGGTAAGAAATCACATTATGTTAGACGACCTCTTAGTATGGTCCATTACAAAAGTATGTCTATGTAGAACAAAGTTTATAATGCATTATATTTGTTGTTCATACAGCCTTGTGGTGATAGGAGGAGAATGCAAGTGGCTCTGTACCTTGTCAAAGAGCCAACAAATTACATAAGGCACAAAGTTCTCAAGAAAGCAATTGCAAATGCGCCGAGGTTTAGAGCTCAGATACTTGATTACATAGAAGCAAGCAATAAGAAGGAAAACAAGGGATTATGAGATACCTAGTGTGCTTTAGATTTTTATCATTCATTTTGTTTTATCCTAGATTTTGAACTTGTTTATGGTATTGTTTGGAGACAATTCATTGCATTGAATATTTCATAATTTTCTTGAATGTGGCAGATTGACAATTTTTGAAATTGCATTTTCACTTGTTGCGGATATATATGTGATATGTTGCATTTATGACCATTCTAGAGATCTTTTAGTATATTTTTTGTGAGGTGAATGGTAGATTTATGCAACCCACATATTTGGCCATTATGCAGTGGCATCTCTGTTCAGTTATGTGCTCTGTGAGTGTCGCCACCGAATTGAAGTGGAGTTCGATTCCCATTTCATTTTATTTGATTAGATGGAATCTTTTAGTCCGTGACATTACACTTTCTCAACTCTTAAAGTCTTTCTCAGACTTTCTTCTCTCTTCTTTGCCTCTGCCAAGGCAGATCTATGAAAATCAAATTGGTTAAATGGGAAGATCAAAATCCACAATGTATTCCTTTGATGCTTTGAGTGTCATTTTTACAACAAAGAAGCAAACTTGTAGGGGTAGTGGGTAAAAAAGATGGAAATTAGAGTTCCCTTTGTACTTGAACACCAAAACATAGGCATGGCAGATTGAGTAGTAAGCGGTGAAAGTTGCTAAACATCCTCATCCCATCCCTCCTCCTCCTTAAAATTGGCATCTCCCATGTTCGCCGATCTGGAGCGATAAATGTTGTTAATGAAAAGAAAGGAAGGGAGGGGGAAAAGAGCCCATCAGTAGCTCCTCAACATAAGAAGCATACAACAAGTTACAAGTTGCTCCATATTTCCGTGGGAAAAGCAAGAGTAAAAGGACAACAAACCATAACAGAAAAAAGGAAAATTTAACTAACAGCGCCTTACCATTTCGAGTAATTACAAACTGCTTATCAGCATGTAAGTAAGGCTTCCTCTTGCTAGACTCACCTGATTCCCTATGGAACAGAAATTGACAGGAGCATCAATACCAATACTAGTTTATAGAAAGTCAATACAAGCCTAAGAAAGGTCAAACTTTTTGCTCATGGAATTGTAGCAAAGTTCGAATATTTTCCAATTGCTTTGCTGGAATTGAACGAATTGAACGAATCTTTTTGTTTATCACTGAAAGAATGGTAGCAAAGTCCTCCCCTACTGTTTCATTTCCGCCGAACCAAAGCTTTTCCTATCCATTTAGCAAATTTCAATCAGCCAAGAAAGGAAACAACTCCAGATTCAACTTATCAAGAGGTAAGATGCCCCTAAACCTCTACAGGGAAGCTTGAAGATAGAGAAATTTACAATGATCAGTTCTAGATTCATCATCCTCTCTTCTTCCAAGCCGCACCCATTTCTTCTCAAGTGCGCGATTTCGATCGTCGATGACAGCGCGACCATGTCCCCATTCGATTCGTTCAAATCCCTACCTTTAAACAAAAAGCTCGCGCAGTATCCACCGAATTCCGTCCAGGCGCTGATTTTCCCCAACCTCTTGGCATGCCTCCTGTCGATTAAACCCAATTTGGACAGGGAGCTCGAAGAAGTAGTGGATTCCTTCGTCCCCGTAGGAGAGGATGGTGAGGATCAGTTCCTCTTGGGAGTGTAAGTGGGAGGAGCGGGAGCCACTGCGGAGGGAATTCACGTACTGGACGAATTTCCCGATGCGGAAATGCCTTCCGGCCGAGGCCGACGCTGGACTTGAGGCTCTTGACGCGGTTGGGTAGAATTAGGGTTTTGGGGGAGGATCGTGGAGGAGAGGATGATCTGGGCGGAATCAATATGAAGGTGGAGGGGATAGTCGGGTCGAAGAAGAAGAAGAAAGAATTAGGGATGGTCTGTGGAGGGTCTGTCCTTTAGTTCTCTAGGGACGTGGGTTTGGGTATTAGGGTTGGATAGTTAAATCAAAAGATCAATCCAAAAAATCACTTCATCCACCCAAACCAATTAACTAAACTAAATTGCAAACATTTATATCTGGTAAGAGGGTTTTGGTAATTATTGGTATAATTAATAAGTGATTTAACGACGAAAAATCAAGAGTCGTTGAGATCACACGTACGATGAAAGATCACCCTGGGTATCTTATACCCCGGATTTTGCCCGGGATACCGTAAAAGGCACCATATATATGGTGACTACTTCGACGCACTCACAAAAATGAGTGTGTTCAATGCACCCAACTCAAAAACTAGTCTTAAGGAGTCAGATTTTGAACTTTAATTTTTAGAATTAGTATAATATGATGATATAACATATGATAACAACTAATTAGCGGATTACCCTAAGCCCTAGACCTCCAATTTTGAGTTCTATCCCTAAACCCCAAACTGTAAACCCTAACCCTAACCCTAGATTTTTAAACTCTAAATCCTTCAAATTAAAGCAAATCTTTCATGGTTTTCGTGCAAATTCATGTGTGTTATTGTTCATCACATCATAAGTGATGATTGACATCATTTTGACATAAATCTCATGTTTAAAATTACGATTATGAAGCGAGTGCACTGAATGCATCCAAAAAAGTGAGTGCACCGAAGACGCCACTATATATATATATATATATATATATATATATATATATATATATATATATGGTGACTACTTCGGTGCACTCACAAAAATGTGTGCGTTCAATGCACCCAACTAAAAAACTACGCTTAAGGTGTCTGATTTTGAATTTTAATTTGTAGAATTAGTGTAATATGATGATATAACATATGATAACAACTAATTAGCGGATTACCCTAAGCCCTAGACCTCAAATTTTGAGTTCTATCCCTAAACCCCAAGTTGTAAACCCTAACCCTAACCCTAAATCTCTAAACTCTATATCCTTCAAATTAAAGTAAATCTTCAATGGGTTTTGTGCAAATTCATGTGCATTATTGTTCATCACATCATAAGTGATGATTGACATCATTTTGATATAAATCGCATGTTTATAATGACCGTTATGAAGCGGGTGCATTGAATGCACCCAAAAAAGTGAGTGCACCGAAGACGCCACCATATAAATATGTATGCATGTATGGTGGCTACTTCGGCGCACTAACTTTTTTTGTTGCACTCAGTGCACCCAACTCTAAAAGCGTCCATAATACATCAAATTTTGAACGTTAATTAGTACTCTCAATCTAATATGATGATATGACATAGAATCATAACAAATCAATCCATTACCCTAACCCATTAACCTTCAATTTTGAATCCCAACCCAAAATCCCAAATTGTAAACCTAAACCCTAACCCTAAATTCCTAAATCCTAAATCCTTCGAATTAAAGTAAATTTTGAATGATTGTTTTTTCAAATTCATGTGTTTCTTGTTCATAATATAATAAGCAACAATTGATACCGTTTTGACATGAATCGCATGGTCAGAATGACAATTATGAGGCGGGTGCACCGAATATGCCACCATATATGTATATGTATATATTATAATAATAAAAATTATTATTATAATATTGATATTAACAGTGCCGGCCTGCCAGCACAGGGCTTCACAAAATCAGGGGCCTCCATCTACAAGATTAAATATTAGGTATAGGCTATTGGGGCAAATTATGGACTTCTTATTAAATCAAAAGAACCAATTAGCCAAGATGTATGTCCAGCCCATCAAACAAAAAAATTAAGCTCGAAAGATAATAAGTTGAGTCCATAACAACTTTCATTCTTCCTTAATACATGGGCTACGGGGAAAGGGATTCATGGTCCAAGTGATGAAGGTGTTATGTTGAGTGTTGGTTGTTCTTTTTTCCGTTTAATCACCAAAGGTGGAATTAATAGGATGCCATCAGTTAATCCATACTTCCCATTCATTACTAGAGATGGCAATGAGTCGGGTTGGGGGCGGATAGTGCATATCCGTTATCCTATCCAATGTAGTTCGGGTTTTACCCATACCCGTACCCACACGAGAAACGGGTAGAAAATCAAAACAATGCCCATACCCGTTCGGGTTTCGAGTATCCACGGTTATCCATGGGTAATAATTTCTCCTCATACTTCCAACCAATATGTTAACATTCACACGTATATTCACATTACGTAAGAGGAAAAGTACGACAATAATTCACTAGAATGACGAAAATTAATTAAAACAACACAATTTCATGAAAATATTATATTTATATGCTAAATATAAAATATTATAGGGAAAAATAATGATTATTTCTAGACAAAATACATATGCATGTGTATAATCGAACGGGTTCGGGTTGGATAGTGAGATAACCATGTCCACCCATTACCCGCAATATTCGGGTTCGGATTTTACCCGTACCCACGAAAAATGCTTCGGGTTCGGGTTTTACCCTACCCGATTAGATCGGATTCGAGTGGATATCCACGGTTACAGATATTTTTGCCATCCCTATTCATTACTGTTTAAATTAATTTTCTCGTTGAGCACACTGCCATTTTATACCAACAGTAAAAGACAATTCATGATCATATTTAAGTATACATAGTTAAATTGATACTCCATTTGTGACTTAACATTTGAAATTCAAATACTCACTTGGACTAATCTAATATTCTGTTTTTTATAATTTGTTTCCCCTCTTTACTTTTCTTAAAATTCTCTTTTATTCAATTGATATTTGTAACCTATTCGGATAGGTCCGATAAATAAACTAGTTTTCAGTTGAGTTACCGTTTTAATTCTTTTATTTGTTTCACTCTCTCAATAACCAATTTTGTATGTATCTTTATGTTTCAACTATCATCAATCATTCGTCATTCTTGGAGAACAACTCAACATTAATTGATTCTTCTTCCTCAAGCATTTTATGAAGTTTCAGCCACTTACCATGCAATATGAGACAGAATCTGGACCGCCCAAAAACTATCCCTCGCCTCTGGATCTAGATCCTCCCATCGACTGCAATGTCGTGACTATGCTTCACCATTGGCCGCCTCCTTTATGGATAAAATCCCCCCAATTTCAGGTCCCCTTCCAAGGAGGTCCACAGCGGCAGCGTCCCGACG